AAAAAACAAACGTTGCGCCAGAAAATTTATGCTTTCAATGAGTGATTAATGATATACTCACTGGCGAAATCCAGTTTCACTACTTGCAAGAATGAATTTGCTTCAGAAGCCCCCAAAGCGATTTGCTAAATGCATTAAGTCAACAATGTTTTTTGAGCTTCTGGTCTCATGTCAGATCTTTTAGTGGAGCAGTTCGGCTCTCTTCCATATTCCGTACGCTCTCTCGGAAGTGTAATATTACAAACGTTCAGTTTTTTCCTCATTAAATGAAACATTCCGTAATCAAATTGTATGACCAACTGCTGATCGTCTTTCTTCGGGCAGTGTTTCTGGTTGTAATCGCGCTGATGATAAACAAAATTTTATTACACAAAAACGATTCGCATTTTTTGCCATCCAATTAGATTGTGAATTGTAAAATTGCGCAACTGCAGAGAGCAATGTCATTGAGTCATTTAAATGTTCCGTTGTGATCAATCTTCTGGGCATTTCCGGTTTCAAAAGCATTCAGAAGGATAGCACTGAGAAGCACTTCTAAACACCGAACCGAACAGCCTTGAAACAAGTAACAGTCGTTTAGTGATACACCTTGACTATATTCGGGCGTTCATTTTTCCAACAGATCCTCGGTTTGTACCCGAAACTAACGCACTTGTGTATGACTTGAAAACTTTCACGTTGACTCATAATAAACTCATTATAAAGGCCATACAACACACACGCATTTACGTGGCAGGATCAGTACACGATTACGATTCGCTCAAATTGAGGACAAACCACATTGTTCTTGGTAACTGTTCCGTGACCGGTCAATCTGCTTAAAGACATTTTGCTTGACGACAGTTTGCCTAAAGACACATTGCTTAACGGACAGTTTGCCTAACGACAGTTTGCCCGTGGAACGGTTTGCGTATTAGGCCAAATAGCCATTTAAAAACCGTAAGTTAGACAAACTGTCCGAAAGGCAAATTGTCCGTTAGGCAAACTGTCTGTTAGGCAAGCTGTCGTTAGGCAAAATATGCTTAGGCAGATTGACCGGGTACCGAACTGTTCATGGTTTGTTGGTGTTCTTCGGAATATTGCATTCGATTTTCTTAAACTCCGCTGTTTCTAATCTTGAAACTTTGCTAGTTTCCACAAAAAAGCTGTCGGTTTCATGGAAGTTGTATAACATCCTAAGGCACTGTAATGCAATCGAACACAATCAAGTTTTTCCATCGAAAACGATCTTATTCACTGAGTTTCAATTGGTGATGCATGATTCGAAAAAAAGGTGCTAAAGAATTCATTCAAAAATATCGTATTTCCGCGTGATATGAGAATAAAAACTCCTTTCAACTCAACTCGTTCGGTCGTCCTCTAAATGACATCATTAGTAATATGAACAGTTCCGCACTTCTATATCTCCTGAGAAAAATGGCTGTCATTTCTTTGAACGACTTTCGAGTGCCTTTGAAGTCTTTGAAACCTGCTTATGAAAGACCCTCTTCAGACGCAATTCCACGATTCCTGTTCAGTTTTTGAAGAGCTCAAGAGATTTGTTCGTCTTATGCCATTCAATTGAGAAGTATTTTGCAATTATCAAGTGATGCTAATTCATCACTCTGCGAATGCTACTTCGTGCGTCTGTAGACGTAAATTAGAGAGGAGCTCAATCAAGAATGGGTCAGATTTGTCATTTGTCAGATTTGTCATCAGGGCAGCAGATTTGTTATTCTATTCGAAATTTTCGATCAGTTTACCTCGGGCACACATTTCCGAGAACGAGCGATTATTGAAATGATAGACGGAAATCTTTAGCAGTGGAGTGCATTTTCCAGTCATCGACAGGCTAGCTTCAGAGAGCAAGAGCACAGCTAATACTCGCTAGTGTGTTCGAGTGGAACATCCGATGGAACGATTGTGAACCATGAAATCGATTAATATCGAATAATGCATAAAATATTCAGCTGTTCAAATAAACAATTTCTTGCGTTCAGCATCAGTGGGCAAATCTCTTTTTGTGCTAGTCAGTTGCGAGCTAGTCAGTTTTAAAAAATACCGTCTGCACAGCATGGCGAAGTTTTAGGTTGTGGTTAGAGTAATTGCTGATGAATGATACTTTCCCAAATTGATGTTGCATTTCTTATCAGTTTCAGCATGATTCGTTTTCATTTCCCATTTTTGACAGAAATTCATTTGCTCTGAACAGTCAAAGTATGTCCGAATCAAACGATTCGCCGCATCAATTGCGTTGAAAATTGCCAGACCATTGCGCTATAGTGTGCAAAGCGGAACGTAAACAAAACAAACGAACACTCACTCAATGAAGATACTGCTGGATGTAGTGGAGGAAAGTACTGGTACTTTTCCGTTGACAAACAACCGTTTGTGTAACCGAGAATGCACGAATATCTCTCGGAAAACTCGTTTTTGTTTCTGTCAAAACTGTTGAACCTTGAATTGCGATTGTGATTCAGTCATGATTCCAGTTTTACAAGAGAATGAATCTGTCTTAAAAATGAAACGGTTGAGAATAATCGTCGTTTTTCGGCACTATCTCCGACCGCCAGCAACGCAATAGGAAAATTCGATTAACGGCACTTTATCAGCAGCTAGTTAATAAAAAAGCTTCACAGCAGGAGGCAAGAATGCGGTATTGTGGCATTGTCGAGAGAGCGATTCGTCCCGTTCAAGAATGCGTGAACAAGTCAGAAATCGCATGCAATTATTTACAGTATGAACATTTTATAGCCGCCTAAATGATGCAGTTCGTAGGTGATATCTGCCATCGTTCTCTACGATCTCTGAAACATTTACGGACAAATTCTCCGCTTTCTGATTCAATCAAAGTCAATCATACAAATCAGAAAATGATCAGTTTTCTCATCGCATTTAANAGAATTCAACACAATCAGAAACGATAACTTCTTAAAGTTCAATTATATTACATTATCTGCGATGCGTTTGAGAATATTCGAGTACCGTTTGTTTCGTGCTGCGCTGTCATTCATTATTTGTCAACGTGAGAACCAAAAAACATCTCGTATCGCAATCCAGCGATATTGTATTCGTTCGCGCAATAAATTTTTAACGCTCTTTCAGATGCACATTTACTTTTTTTGCATGATCGCTGGAAAGAGATGTGCTCTTATGGAACACGCAAACAGTGTTTCCAATCAGTGTTTTTCAATCAGTATTGTCAATAACCTTTCATATTGCAAGCAAGCAAAGTCTGCAATATAAAAGGTTATTGACAATACTCATCGAAAAACACTGATTGAAAACAAATATATAGTGGGATGAAAAGGGACAGTAAGTTTCATTTTCTTCTGTGCGCTTCTCGAAGGACAGTATCATCAGTGGCGACTGTGGTGCTGTACCAAGATGTCAACAATGTTGCACATTATGGTGAGTTTATCAAATTATTTTCCGTGTACTGGCAGGAATTCTCTGGTGGCTCAGTCTTCGAATGAATACAACCTGAATGACTGCGATGGTGAATTTTGTTATGAAATAATGAAGCTTCTACAGTATGTTTCGAACCGGATTTAAACCATAATACACAAATATATGAAAGAGAATTATGGATGTATTCCATGTGAAAAATGGCTTGATTAGTGAACTTGGGCAAATTTTCGAAGCATAGGTATTGTATTTTTAGACGGTGCATTCGATTCTACTTCAACGTTGTCCACGAAGGTAAGTTTCAGGGAGTATAATGTGAGAAACAAGGATTCAGTTGACTTGGAAGATAACTCCGAATGAAAGTTATTCCACGTTTAACTACTCACTATACCATTCAGTGACTACAAACTAAGTTTGCATTTGAGATGGATTCCAGATGCGTTTGGTAGTTGACAGATTGATGTGTGTTGCATGTCGAAATCGAGTTGTTAAAACGAAGAAGCGTTATAGTCGGATATATTGTGGCTGAATGCGATGCGAACGAGTGCACTGATATGGCCAACCGCGATTTGGTTTCAGATATTGTTATTAATCGCTGCGACTACCACTGATGCTCGCTGTTGCATCTGCTGTTGTGGTGGATGTGGTCGTGGTATGGGTGGCGGCTTCGGTGGAGGTATGCCAATGCCTATCGTCGCCTATTTAATACCAGCAGGTGGTGGGGGCTACGGTGGCGGAGGCTACGGTGGCGGAGGCTACGGTGGCGGAGGCGGAGGCTACGGTGGCGGTGGCGGAGGCTACGGTGGTGGGGGCTACGGTGGCGGAGGCTACAGTGGAGGGGGTTACCGTGGAGGAGGTTTCGGTGGAGGAGGTTATCCCACTGGAGGTTACGGTGGGGGAGGTTACAGTGGCGGTGGCTTCGGTGGTNGGTGGTGGAGCTCGCATGGGGGGTGGCGGTGGCTTCGGTGGTGGAGGTCGCATGGGGGGTGGCTATCCTATTGGGTGAGTTATTCAACAGTCGATCACATACTTTGTTGAGGACACTCAATCGATGCTTTAAAAAATTTTAACTTCAAATTTTAAAATTTCAATAATTTTCATCGAACCGTGTAGTGTAGTGATGATGCTGACGAGCAATCTTCAAATTTTTGAAAATACGTACTAAGTGAAGAATAATTCGCATTCTGTTGACAGTGCATCGTCGAGACAGGAGGGGTTACCAACAGTAGAAGACAAAAAAGTTTTTTGAATTACGAATTTACCAAGAGCCTACAAACTCCAAATGGTCACACAATTTCCCACTGCTGAACTGCAATTTATGATGCTCGAAAGATGTAGAAATATTATATGATACTCGAAAGAATTTTTTATATGATAGGCCATTTTTGATACTCAAACGAAAAAGGTATTCGAAAGAAAATTTATGACTCTCGAAGGCATTTATGATACTCGAAGTTGTAAAAATATTCAAACACAAATATCAGTTTCACGTGATTTTCAAATATGCATTCGCATCTCATAATTGAGAAAAATTGCACGAAAATCAATCAAGTGATGGAATGTGGTTTGCAATTTTCTGAATTTAGGGGGTAAAAACTCATTTTCACAAAAAATTTTGCGACTATCAAATGGTGCTATAATTAATGACTATGTGAGCACCCAAGAATACCAAATCAAATGAAGTGTTCAGCGAATTCCCTTTAATATTGCAACATTTCATGCAAGAATCACGTTCACTCGTTAAATTCGTGCCAAATGATGCGGAAACGTTTTATTGATAGTGGTATTTGACTTGCAAGGCACACTGATTAACGTTGAAATTTGTCATTTTTCAGTGGCGGCGGTGGTGGTGGATATCCAATGGGATAAAACATATCGAATCCATGAAGACATCCAACTTCACCAAGATCACACAACAAGTCTATCTCCGTGATGATAATCTAATAACAGTTTTCTGTTTGTATAAAGATTTTTATTTGCTGCCATTCGAAAATTCTTGGATTTGTTCGCTTTGCCGTTTGCGTTGAACCTCCCTGACAATGCGATATCACTTTCATCACTGGCCAAGTGATGAAAGTTACATCTGCTATTTCAGGTTCGTAACTCTTCCGAAACTTCGTTTTTCACTTCCTTTGAAGCAGAACAATTCATGTGTATTCGGTTTGTCGCTTCAATTGGAAAGCAATTCTTAATACTTCAGGAACACACTGACTTGAATTCGCTTGAACGCTTCAGATAAAATCGGAATTTTAGTGTTGAATGGAAGTGAATCACATTGATTTCCTCATCGGCCTCTGGGCTTTCCTCTAATTTTGTATCGATGTCTTTTTGATTTATCACAATGTTTCATAGAGTTTTCTCTCTTGTTCTTGAGTTCGATTGAATAAATGTAGTATTCTCACAGTGATTTGCATCCTTTTCAGTTGCGTTCATTCAACTGCGTCACTTTTTTCAGCCACATTTTTCCGCTGCTTCACCTCACTGAAGTCGCTAAAATAATGATGAATGAGCGGAATCTTATTTTAATCTTTCATATAAAACGCCGTGTCTGTAAAGAGTAATGGCTCTTCACGGAAAGGAATCATCTTGCTCACATACCTTGTTTTTCTA